TATATATGTTATTTGTGCACAAAGGTTAGCTTATTATTAGCTCACTGCAAAGGCGTAATGTATCATGTCAATCATTTTGGAAAACATTTTGTGTTTTGTGTCAAAAAGGATATTTCTTTAAGTCTTCTAGGCTAGGAGGCACAAACCCCAATTCTGGCATACTGTATTCTTAATGCTAAGGCTTGCTGCTCTGGCTGTGTATTTTTTTGTTGTCCCTCTTTACTATAGTGCCTGTTACAAGCATGTGTGTATGTGTGTATACATATATATGTATACACAAGTTGTATAAATATATATATATAAAATTTCCCCATTAGGTATCAGTCCAACCATGCAATCCAAAAGGTGGCTCTGCATAGATGCCCAGCATATAGTTCACCACCTGAGCCAACCCTGAAGCAAGGCGCACTTTAGTCCTTCTGATAGGTTTTCTTTTTTGTTTAAAACCAAGCTACTGCAGCTTCAAGTATTTTGCATTACATAGATTTTTTTATAAATTAGTTAATGTTATATTTTTCAATATTCAGACATATACTATAATATATATACAGTACAATAAATGCTCTCATTCTTTTTTTAATTTTTTTGATAAATCCCTGAGAATGTATGTTGACAGTCGCTAAGTTTCCACATGCACAAGCATTGTGTGCCATGCTTCTGGATGAACAGCACTGCAAAGCCACGTGGTCAGCCTTTTAACTATTAGTATTTCATTTGTTGGTTTGTTTAAATATGCTGAAATGTAAGGATGAGTTACAAAGGAGTAAAGCTGAATCCATTCGAGGTACTTATCACAGGATGGAGGTGTTTTGTTTGGTTTTTAAAGCCATTACAATATATGTTTGTTTTTTGAGGCTGTGAACGTATACAGAAAGAACAGGAGAGCAATGTGGGCTTTTGCCACTTGACAACATATACTCAGTGTAAACCAAACCTTATTTAACCTCTCTCTCATACAAAACAGGAAAAAGGAAAAAAAAAAAATAAAAATTAAACACACAAACTTTCACAACATGACAATTTAGTTTGCAAACTCAATATAACTATACACATATAATACCGGTGTGGCTCTGTTTCTTTAAGTTAAAAAGGATACAAAGGCAGGCTCAAGTAAAAACAAACCACCCCCTCCCACCCCTCAATCCCCTCATTCACACATTTTCGTCAACCAAACCGCTCACGAACCAGCATCATCAGTTTCTTTTTGCCTTTGTAGATTTGTTTTAGGTTGTCAATAAACTGTGTAAACTGGATGTGACCATCATGAGCCATTAAGAAGGTCTCTCGGGCCTTGCTGAGGAACTCTATAAACTCACTATAGTGTCGTGGGCTAATGTGAGTGAGACGTGAATGAGTTGTATTAATGTAGGCTCCGATTGTGGCATCCAAGAGTTGCCGTAAAGGGGCTTTGTCCAGTGACATGAGCTTACCAGAGTTCCTCCTTCCATGAAGTCCCACCATGCCAGGAGTGGTCAAAGTACATCTACGCAAAATGTCTGACAGTACTGTTGCACATTTGACACTTTTGACCACCAGAGGTATTATAGCTGCTAGCTCGTTTTTCCCGAGGGAGTGGCTGAGTGCACATGCCCACAGAACGTCATTAATGGCAGGGTGTGTGTCCTGATTGTAACTCAGGTTGAGATGTGTCATGGCCAAAGTGGCCAGCTTGTAGGCCCGCATGGGGTAACCCCGGTGCTCCATGTATCGTGCTATAGTAAAAAGCTGCGAGTAGCTCATGCCTGTTGTAGCAGCATCTAGAACGATTTGGTACGCGGTCTCAAAAGCTATGTGATCCTTTTCACATAAGGTCAGTGCAGAAAGAGCACAGTTTTGAGGATCCTTCATGGCACACTGTAGAGCAAGCGTCCTAGCACTGCTGGCCAGCTTCTCCTGCTGATGGCAGTCCAGATGCAGACGGACAATGGTGCTGTTGGACATCACTGTTGTAGCAACAATACTAGTGGCTTCTGTTGGAGTGAAAAGTGTAAACCAGTTTTGCATGATACTATCCAGTGCATAAACACCTGAGGAGAGAAAGAAAGGATTAGCCAAAACTGGTAAAATCTGGCAGATACTGATGTTGAGCAAGAGACTGCATCTGCAGCAAAGTCTTAAGAGGTGGCCGCTACATCCAAGCGGATGCGCTTCACCAAAAAGGGCTAAACCAGACAGCAGGGCTGAAAAACGACATTAAAACAAAGGCTACAGTGCAAACTCTGTAGCAACCATTAAAATGCAGAGAATAAAATAATAAATAAATAAATAAATAAAAAGCCTGCAAGATAAGCTTTAATGTCCTGGTGCAACAACTGAGCTCTTTTACTTGTTATTTAAGATAATTTGGGTAACAAATTCTGGCTCATTTGGTCTCATCACACCATTCACAAGGAGGCCTCAACACTGAACACTTTTGAAAGTTGATTTTAACTTCTTTTCCTTACTGTGCATCTCAAGGCACAGCACATGAACAAAAGAATCTGCAGGTATGCTAAATGGCTTTCTTAACAGAACACCATGGCACACCTTAACGGAACATGCTAAGCACACCTTACAAAAACCCAAACATTCTAACCCCCACCTCCTCCTAACAGGCTTTTCAGATACACCTTGTGTCAAATTCAAATGCACCTGAACATCAAGATCCTTATTAGGTAAATACTTTGAGCAATATGAACTACTGGATATTATCTGAAATAGGTGTTTTCCTTTATATCACTTTATTCCTGGTGTGTGTGTGTGTTTGGCAGGGGGAGGAAGAGTGAAACAGTGATAACGGGTTTAATAAATTGAACCTTATAGCCAACTAGAGTGCCTTGTTATTGCTAGAGGCAGTTTACACACACCTGTGAGGCCACCTAAACCACACCCAGAGGTCCTCATTTTCTCTGCAGGACCCTGGTACTTCCCATGCACCCCTCCACTCATGTGCAACAATTCAGCATAGCTGAAGAACAGCAGCTCTTTATGTAAATACAGAGATTCCTTGCTTTACCAATTTGATAAAGTCTCAAGAGAATTTTGCATAGCATTATAAGGTTCTTTATGGGATACTTCTATTAGAACATGTAAACTAATTTAAAGCAATATTATACCCAGCATTTTATTTGTCAATATGCAGCTACACAAAATAATACCCAGGCACTAATATCTGTAAGACAGCCTCAGCAATAATTACTTTAGCAAAAATATAAAAGCAATAAGACAAGAGCATTGCGTGAAAATTTGCAGACACAAACCACTTTCTGGCTGAGGGCATACAAAGGCAAGCTGTATTTTCCCTTGCTATTGGCAACATTAATTTCCCATTTAAGCATAACGAAAAGAATAAATAATCCAGGGAATAAGCAGCAGCAATTCTCTGAAGTTTTTAAACTCAAGAAGCATCTATGTGATAAAATCCAATCAGATGTATGAAAAAGGAATAAATACAGTAGGGAAACTTGCTTTTCAGAAATAACAGTGAGAATTAAAACTGCTTCCTTATTGTAAATACTTCTATTGCCCCCACTTCCACAACTGCTCATTTATTTTATTTTTTACTGCTACAGTTTTTAATGCACTCATCTTCACTCCTAGATCCTGTATCCTCATCTTGCAGATGGCAAATATAGAAGCTAAGGGATGCCTCATCAAGACACACAGGAAATCTACAGCAAAGGCCAGAAATGAACAGAACGTCCTGCTGAGTGCACTGTTCTCCCACTGCTATCCTGTAAGTTTAAGATTGCTTTTCCTCCCACCCTATTTTCTCCTTACATGGCTAACAATGGGTATATCATTGGTATTTGGTTAGCTTTACAGGGCAGACAAGAGGTCTGCACATCATCATCGCCACATAACAAAGATGCATTACACTCTAAGCTTGGATTTACTTAGGGGCTTAAAAAAACCCAACCCCTAAGAATGAGAACCCCTTCATGAGATCCTGTCTGCCACACAGTAGGAGGCATCCTCAGCATTTCATTCATCTGTTTTCTGGTTTCTCTTCCTACAGCTGACCAGACAGCACTCTCAACTTGCCTTTCAGAGCAAGCAAAGTTGTAGCACAGAGCAAGAGCCTGTACTCATGGGCCTTTTCTCTACTGCAGCCTCAAACCTAAACCCATCATTGAGAGAAAAAGAGAAAATCTGGGGTATTTCCCAAAGGCTATGCACACCCCCATCTTGCAGGATTAAAGAAGTTACTGTGCACTACTCAACCACTGTCTCAATTGGTCTGTGCTTAAAAAAACCACTCATCACTGCCACAATGTCTTCCACCAAAGGAATTTTACAAATGAACAGGAAGTGGGAGACATTTGCAGAACTTGGGTGCTGTTAAGCAAATCAAGCCCTCTAAGATTAGCTGACAAGAGAAGCGTTTCAGAACATACCTACTTCTGTTGCGCATGTTACCAACCACCTCACCATTTCCCGCCGTCGCCAATTCAGTGTGGACAGTGTCATCCGCATCACCTATCAAAGCAACATAAACAAAATACAAATTAATCCTACTGCAAACCAAGGCAATATACCAATAATTAGGGGTTTTAAGTTATTTGAATATGCTAAGGTTCAAAATGTCAGCCTCTTGTGCTCCCTACTCTGTTACCTCTGTTTTAGCAGGTATGTCAAACGATTTGAAAAATACTGCTCAGCTAATTTAGAAGAGCATGCAGAGAGTAATTCCAACTGCAGATCCTTTGAGGCTACAGGAGACACACTTCTGTGGGCAAGAAAAAAAAACAACCCACAAAAGAGACCCAACCCAACAATAAAAAGCCCAATCAATTACTGATTATTCAAATTAAATTGTATCATGTCTACTCCCTCTATGCACAGTAGTCCTTAAAGTGGGAATGTGTGCTCAATGCTCGACTCTCATTGGGCAAAGTCACCCCTTTAATTATTCCTTCATCTGTATTTCTTTTCATTGACTTCAACAATACAGACAGGAGTTAGTGTACTGTGGTTTGACTGGCTGCTTATTCAGCAAAGATGTATATACACAATTGAAGGTACATCCAGGTATTATTAAGAGGTCCTCCACAGTGATTTCTCTCTCTGAACAAGGAGACCCTGCAAAGAAATTCCACCATAAAACCATCAGAATCCTAGAAAAAGGACTTTGATTGTAGTGCCTGCATTTTACATCACTTGTGGTTATTGCCTACACTGCTTCTTAAAACATGGGAAGATTTGTTTATTCAGAAAAACAAACACTGCATGGAAATTGCATGTAAAGCTACCTGGACAGATCCCACAGATACCTAGACAAAGAAAGCAAGTAGCTTTCCCCTTAGAATATCAGTGATCATACTGTGGTATTACTGTTTGTAGCATTTAGATAAACCGCATAATAGGTCAATCCTAAAGCTCTCAGGACAATCTTTACACATCAAACTCAATAAATGCATTCACAAACCAGCTTGGAGTCAGCAGCATTTGTAAGAGGGTTCTCAACACATATCCCTTCTCAATCCTAAAGTTACTTCAAAGTGGCGTGTAGCTCTCTCACATATGTCACTCTTGCCACCTCCTTCAGTCCTATGCAGTAGATAGGATAATTAAGATGATGGCAAGATTGCTGAGGAGCACAAATGCACATATGATCTTTAAGAAGTCTGGTTATAAGCAACCATGAGTGGTTCCAAGCTGGCCTCCAAAAATTTCCACATTGAGACCCTGGTGACTGTTTGTACACATCACCCAAAGTTACAGGATAAGGTCAGCTTTGTTGGCCTCAGACACTGGGGTATCATTTTAACTAAACACTAATGTAAGTGCTAGATTGGAGAACAGCATTTTGAAAGAAAGAAAATTGATCTGTAAGGAGAACCCAACACATTTTAAACTGTGAAAATATGGCTTAGGTAAATCATGGAACCAGCCTCTGCTTGAAGTCCTTCTGGAAGAAATACAGGCATCCCCAAGTTAAAATGCTTTGGAGTGTAACTATCTGTCCTATTACATCCATCAAAGGTAGGGAGTCTAGGTGACTTCCTGTATGGATGCACACACATATTGAAGGCTAGCACTCTTCCAACATCCATGACGAATTTTCAGCTTCGCCCAGGTAGAGTGATTCCAAGAGTAAATACAGGGTTATGGTCCAAATTCTGCTACTGGTGAGGGAGCAAAGAAGGTAAAAACCAAAAACAAACAACAGTGTGAATGATGTCTTCTCTGATGACTTTCCTCACTGTGATGCTCTGTAGAAGGATCAGCAGTTACAAGGAACTTTCGGCATGTGCAGTGTTGCTGTAACTATAACTCCAGTGTAGACAGTCCTAACTTGGGAGCAAAACCCAATACCATAGCTAGTTTCTTGACATGGGAAAGTTTCTTGACAAACTATTCTGGAATTAGGTTCCTTTCATTTGATTAACCTGACAAGCTGAGAACAGCAAGACAACGACCTTTACTGATAAAAACCCCAAAAATTTCAAATAAAGCATGTACTGATGTCCTGACCAAGAAGGATCTGAAGTTAATTTACACTGTAGCACACATAGCCAAAGAACTATTTGACTTTTGCTGAATATATTCAAGAGCTACCTCTTCCTAAAAGGGAGCTGCACATCTATCAAGGTAGATCTGTGCCATCACTTGAAGAGAACTTCTCAACAAGTCAGGAAGTCTCTAATGACAAGAGGCCCCTGCGAATTGCATAGCTTATCTGAAAACTAAGCCCTCTTCCACACAGAGTAACTTTGCCTTTGACTTGATGGATCTTTCTACGAAGTTTTTACAGAGGCACAGAAGATCTCACCCCCATAACAGATACAAGAAATAGACAACCAACCATTAGCTTCCACTCCAATGCAAAACCTGTTCATTCACTCACAGGTGTCGGGGCACAAAGGACACCACTTGCCAAATACAGCAGTTCCACAGGCAGTACCTGTTTGCCTGTGTGCAGTAATACCTACTTGCACTGACACAGCATACAACAAGCAAACAGAGGAACAGAACCTCTCTGTACCTGCTGATGTTACAGCACTTGTGTCAGTAAGGTTTTGAAGAACACAGTATAACTGAGATGCTTCATGCCCCTTTGGCCATGCTGATGACCTCTTTACACAGCCAGT